CCTCATGAATAGATGAATTTCTGCCTCCCAGCTCACTCACCCGCGGTATGCCCATTGTTGGTGAATATTCATTAAGTGAAATTAGCATCTATTAGGTCTTAATTAGCTTATAAAAGGCTTGTTTTGTGGTAATGAAGTATATACTCTGGATGTGCCTCATGGCAGCTGGTGGGTCCCCCTGCCCACATGGCCATCCCTGAGCAGGGTCCAACCCCTCTGGTGGGAGCACGGGGGGCTTGACCCGTTCTTCCCTATAGCAATGAAGTTACATCTGTGAGGAGGTGTCTGTGACCTAAGTGTGTGCCGAACATTAGCTCAGGTTTGCAAAGTTTCATTAGGTGATCGTAGCAATGTCCTGCACTGCTGCAGTGGTCTGATATTTGGTGTCTGATATTTGGTATCTGACGTTTGGTGTCTGGGCTGTTTGGGCACTTCAGGCACCTATTGGAGTTTTGTTCCATGGCTGGGCGAGCGCAGCCCTTTGATTTGGGTTTCATGGGCTGTCTCACTGCAATGGGATATGGATGGGCATTAGCTGAATGTCCCTATAAGTTTGCTTAGAAACTGTTAGGGAGGCACTGAAAACTGCTGTGCTCAAAGCAAGCGGTAGGATGTAGGAGGAGGTTGCATAGCACGCTAATGGGGACTGATCTGAGCAGTGACCTTTTCCCTCTCAACTCATTTTTCACCGTTTTTCAGACTTCATTCATTTCAACATGGGGTGGGGAAGCAGCAAAGGCAGCAAAGGCATCATCTCGGTGTGGGAGCAGGTGAGCATCCCCAGCGCTGCCCTCAAGGAGCTCGGCCCCGCTGTCCTCCGGGGCCGTGATGGGGAGGGAGCCTGAATCCAGAGGAGGGAAAACACACCATTCAAGAGCTGGTGGCAGCAGTGCTGCTCGTCGAACGTATTTCCTCCATTAGGAGGTGGACCAGGCAGTTAGGTTAACAGGTTGGACTCGATGATCTCAGACGTCCTTTCCAACCTTAATGATTCTATGATTCTATAAATGCACACAAGCAGCAGGGTAAAATGACTGACTTTGCAGGTGAGAAGAGAAAAAGTAATTACAGGCAAGTGCAGAGAGCAAATGCTGATAAGGAGAGCAGGAGCTGCCCTCCCGCTGGCTAGGAGAGCCATGACAGGGATGCACTCCACTCCCAGCATCTCTGTGTTTCCACAGGACCAGCCAGAAACACCCTGACCAATTACCTTCCACCTGATTAATTTTTGCCTTTCAAGCGCTGGTGGTTGCTTGCTGGAATAAATGGTTCTGTGTTTAGGAAGGGCAGAGGCTCTGGAGCAGTCCCTCGCAGGAAGCACTTGGTAGCTGCAACGCAGGAAAACCCTCACCAAGCTGTAATGTCAACTGCAATAAGGAGCTGCAAACCAACACAGCTCACGGGTGTGTTTTTCAGAAGCATGTGTGATCAGAGTTTTACAAAGGATCGATATGTAGTGCCTTTGTAAAAACTGAGAAAGTATAAAAAATTTCAATTTAGCCATTATTGACTTTTTTCAGACAAGATACAGAACAGGTCTTGAAGCAAGTCTATAAATTAAATTTGGCCACACAGCTCACAGACTGAAAGACTCCTTCATCATTGACAAGGAAGAGGAAGGAAGAAATGAAGATGGGTTTCCTGACTTTTGTTTTTCCACCTGTTTCTGTAAATTATATGCATTGTGTTCATGGTTGCAAGAAAGACTGAGAAATGGGAGAGCAGGGCAATGACTATCAGGGTACAGCTTTTTAACATTTTGCTGCCATGAGCTTGCAAACCCCCTTCCTCCATGGTCTGCTCCCAGGGCTTGGGGGTTTGAAACTGGCAGCAACATTTTTTTTTCCTTTTTTACCCCATTTTTTGATGGAGACCTGTTTCTGGAGTGGTGGCAGCAAATGGTCACCTTGGACCCTGGCGTGAGGAAGAGATTTCCATCAGCCCCACTCCCCTCTGCTGCCCTCCCTGCAGCCGTGTAGGATCTGCCAGCACCACCGCCATCCCAGCACCACGCGTTGCCTGTCACTGCTGCAAAAACCAGTGGGCCAATGCTGCAGCTCTGACCCAACTGTTCCCCCTTTCCCTTCCCGTGCCCCTCACACCGCTGTAAGAAATGCCACAAGCACCGGGGTTCGATACTGGCCATGGGGCCCCCGGTTCCTTCTCATGGGTGAGACCAGGGGCTATATTGCTGGTCTGAAGTTGCTAAGCTGAATTATGCTTTTCTTGATCTGGATAATGTTACCAATATGCATGAGTTGGAAATGATAATTACATTTTAGTGGGAAGATGGATGCTTCCAAATGACATTTAAATCCGTGATTATTGCAGTGGTTTGGTCAGGGAACAGTTGTTATCAAGGCCAGCTCTTCCACTTTGTCACGGATTACTGCGTTTGGGCAGATCTCCAACTGAAAAAGAAAAACTACATGAATCAGGAAATAAATTAAGTACTATTCACGGGTTCCCATCACCAATGGGTTATGCAAATGAAGGACCGTATTTCCCAAAAGCCTCTGTTTTGTGCATGACCAAGCTCTCATGCATGGGGAGGCTACCTCTGAAGTGCAGTGAGTTGTCTGCAGGGGTCAGGGTCTGGGGGTGCCCCTGCGGGCAGGGGGGATGCTGGGGGTGCGGTGCCCACCGGGGCAGAGGCGGGCGGCTCTCACTGCACCGTCTTACAGCAAAGGTGACTGTGCTATTGAGCCTTGGAGAAGAAAAGATGGCTGGAGAAATTAGGGATGCTATAGCTGTCAACAATGGAAAAGATAATTTCCTAAAAGCTATTCCCTGGAGGCTGGGGAAGCCAGGCACCTTCTGATACCCAGTTCTGAATTTTATAGCAGGCTGTATATATCCTTCTTGTTGCGGGAGAGATGTTTATTGACATAAGTAGGCAATGATCACCTGAATACTGTTTGATTTCTTACTTTAAAAAACAACAAATAGTTATATTTAATCCAATGAAAGTGAAAAGACTGTGATGATTACAGACCGGAATAATAATGAATATTTTTCTGAGCAGCGGGAGCAGAGCAGTATTGTCTGAACATTTTGTTTAGACATGAGGACCATCTTGTTTTGCTTTGTTTTGTTTTGTTTCATTTTATACCGTTGGGAAAGCCTGTGATTTCCAGGGTGGCGTGTCTGCACATCCCGTGGTGGTGTCATGCGGAGATGCTGGCTCCCCAGGCTCCCCGTGCTGGCATGCCTCCCGCAGCCCCCCCCGCTTGCTTGCTGCATCCTGGGGACTAGACCAAAACCCCTAACACTGCATTTCTTTGTGACTGCCAGGATTTTACCTGTAAGGTCCAGAAAAAGATCTGTATGAGCTGCCTGTACTCAGAATCTATGCATTTTGCTTTTTGCATGCATTTCTCTGCCATTCCCTTCTCACGGTTACTTTGCTGTGGCACCTCAAGCTGCAGTGCCAGCGATGATCTCGCGTAGTGCTGCTCCCTCTGATGGGACCACTCGTGTCGTGCTGGGAGGAGACGGAGGGATCGAGTCTGGTATAACCTGGCTGCTGACAAACACGCTGGTGGGGTGGCTCCGAGTCTGGCACCGGTGTTTCTCCCTGTGGGGTGTTTGCTGTAAGCCGGCTTGCTGTGGGGCTGCAGGGAAATGCCAGGGAGCAGCCGTGAAGCCTCCATGGAGCAGTGGTGGTGGCGGTGCCTTCCACTGCCAAAATTCCACCTTGGCCATACAGGAGAGCTACCAGCCCGTGCCACATCGCCTATGCTGACCTATTCTGGGGCAAAGCCCATGGCAGGGCGTTTACCTGCGCTAGTTCGTTACATGCGGTTGCTAATGAGGGGTAGGACTCTGCAGCTGTGTTTAACTGTGCAAAGAAGATCATTGCAGAATCCACGGGTCTTTGGTTTTAACCTGAACATGGCAAATGGGAAAAATGAGGCAGGTTGGATTTAACAGCATGTTTGATACTGTGATTTTAAAGGCAGAAAGATGACTTAGGCTAGGAGGGTTCGACGGGATTTAAGCAGCCTGGTGTTCCCAGGTGAGACCTGTCAGTCCCTGCAGCCACCTTGGGTACAGTCTTGACTTCTTTGCACACCAGTGGAGACAGGCCCTTCCTATGTGAACAAGTTTTATTCCCGTATTTCCAGACTTGTCTTTATTGAGCGCAAGCCCAGGGAAGATCAGTGCCAACATGAGCTGTTGGACCCCTCGTGTTTTGCTCAGATGGTGGCTGGGATGGAAAGGGGCAGCAGGCTTTGCCATGTCCGGCCTCCTGGGCGCTGCCTTCCTCTGGCAGCCAAAAAGTCACCATTTGTTTGTCTGTTTTGAACTAGTAACCTTGGCCTTGGCCTTGTAACCTCTATTCAAACCTATGAGTTTATTGGCTGCAGAGGAACCCCACATACAGGTAAAACTTGGAGGAATGGATTGGGAATGACAAATTCTGAAGTCCTCGTTCTGTTTTTTTCTCTGTCTTTCCTCAGGCAAAATGTCCGTGGACTTCATCAGGATTTTCTCTTAAGGGAGAAAAAGCCCCGGGTGATTTGCTCAGGGTTTGCCCTTGGGTTGGTGGGTGGAGGTAGCAGCAAATCATGACAAGCCTGAAAAGCAATTAGGGTTCCTGAAGTGATGGTTACTCACTCTGGTTAAACACCTGACTGGATCCTCGCATGACTCTTTCTCACTGAGGATCTCAGAAAACTTTCAGACATGTGTTGGATGTCTTAGGGGACCTGCAGGGGGGACCTGAGCAACACGTGCAAGTGGAGTGGATGAAGGAGCCCCAATGTTAATGGAAATTGTTAATGGTGGAGGTTTTGCTGACAGTTTGTGGTGACATTCTGGAAAGCTCCCTGAGAGGTTTCCTGCCACGCCATCTGGCTGCATCCCTCGCTGCTCCCGTGGGTCTTGGCAGGCAGCAGCAAGCCCGGCGGTGGGTGAGCAGCCTGTTTCTGGGTGGGGTGTGGGCGGGGGGTTCGGAGCTGTCGGTAACCCTGGGGTGCTCTCTGTTCCTCTTACAGGTGAGCCATCCCGGTGGTCCTCATCCCACTGCGACTGCTGCTGCAAGAACAGCAAAGGCGACAAGGAGGGAGAGAGTGGCACGTCGTGCAACGAGCTGTCAACGTCGAGCTGTGACAGCCAGTCGGAGGCCAGCTCCCCCCAGGAGACAGTCATCTGCGGCCCCGTCACCCGCCAGCCCAACATACAGACTCTGGACCGGCCGGCCAAGAAGGGGCCGGTGCAGCTGCTGCAACAGTCCGAGATCCGGAGGAAGAGTGACCTGCTCCGAACTCTCACCTCCGGCTCCCGAGAGTCCAACTCCAGCAAGAAAAAAGCAGTGAAGGAGAAGCTCTCCATTGAGGAGGAGCTAGAAAAATGTATCCAGGATTTCCTCAAAATCAAAATCCCAGACAGGTTTCCAGAAAGGAAACATCCCTGGCAATCCGAACTGCTGCGGAAGTACCACCTATAGGCTCGGGGTGGGGAAAGCACATGACCTTATTACCGTTAGAGCAAGATTCTAAGTGATACAAAAATAATTCCCAATAATAATTATTTCTTAGGTCAGAAAAAAAAAAATCCATCTCTATAGTACTGCCTAATTTGCCTATTTCACCTTAACATTTATAGTCATAGGGCAACGATATTTTTCCAGTCGTGGAAGCACAATGACAAACGCTTTTATTTGTAAACTCTGAGTCTTACACAAGCTGAATACCTTAAGGGCACAACCATACTGACAACAAGAGATGCTCATGTGTGGATGCTGCTGATGCTGGTGGGAACATGGCACGTGAGCAGGCAGTGTCCGGGGTGTCTGTGGACTGCATGCCTTCTGCGTTCTCCTTGTAGTGCGTTTGTTTGGAGGGATGTACACAGCTCAAAGAAACAAGCTATGCCATGACAGTTTACCTTAAGCATGTGTATATATATATGTGCATATATATATGTGTGTATATATATCTCTGTGTATATATATATGTATATATATATCAATATATATTGCTTAAAGATTTTTCTGGCTCTCTCCTTATAACTGCACTTTCTCAGAAAAGAGCATTTTTTAGCAGTCTATGGATGTTCCGTTTCTTCTTCAGGTCTTTGAGGGTTGAACAGTAGAAAACCCATCTCACTCTCTCTCTCCTCTGCTCCCTCTCTCTACCTTTTTCCCCTCCCTTCTCTGAGACACTGTAAATGCATTTCAGTGGAGACCAGGGAATAGTATGTGGGTCTTTGTTGCCGTCAGCAAAATATTCCATTTGGTTTTGATGATCTTGTTCCCTTTGTGTCCTCCCCACGCCTCTTGTCATGTTTCTCAAGGCTCTCCGGTGCCAGTGGGTTAAATGCGTGATGATCCCAGTTGGAAAGCTGTAGGAATTCTTCCAGGGTCAAGTGTGGTGACAGGAGGAGTGGCCGTGCTGGTAAGGACAGCTGATTTCTGCAAGCTTGCCAGGTGCGTGTGCCAGCAGTGTTTGGCCAAAGCTGGCAGGGAGAGCAGGCGCTGGGTCCTGTCCGGCTCAGAAGCAAACACAAGAAATTATCCACCTAACAAGCCACGTTTAGTGCTTTGACTGGCGAGGGATTGATTGCTAGAGGACGGGAGCAACGCCGTTCCAGCCATGTGCATTTCAAGAGAAAATGCAAACCCCAGAAGGAGGTACCCCTATTCCCTCCTGCAGACGCCCGTCTCAGTGTTGGTCCTGTCCACAGCTGGTGGCAGGACGTTAGCTAGCAAACTGCGCCGAGTGTCCTGTGTTATCCGCCGCGCACTGGCTGGGCAGCCATGGGAAACGCTGGTCCTGCACTGATCAGAGCGGAGGTCCCACAGTCCACAGTCCCCCAGGGTGCAGGAGCTTGGGGAAAGGGAATGGGTCAGTCTTGTGGGGTGCAACAGGCTGTCATTGCTGGGTAATGCATGAGCACAGCAACAGGGCCAGAGAGCACTCAGGAACTGGGTGTTAGCAAGCGGTCAGAGGCGTAGGGCCAGCAAAACCTGGAGCAGGTAAGCGTCAGGGGGGGCTCAGCTCAGGGGGGCTCAGCTCAGGGGTGAGCTTGGGCTGCTGGGGCGGGTGAGCCACAGAGAGTGACAGAGAAATTAATTGCTCCAGCTAACCTATTTTGCCATAGCTAGGAACAAACCAGCTAGAGTATTTGAGATAAATTATTTGTTTTCTAAAGGCACAGAAAGAAGGAGATTTTATATATATAAAAAAATATGGGAAGTGATGGTGCTGGTAACACAAAGCACTTTGATTCTCACTTATTTAGTGTCCTGATGTCAAGTATGCACAGATTATTTCTGTTGATCTTCATGCAGTTTCAGCAAGGTGGTATCTTTGTGCTTGCAGGGCTCCATTGTGCCCACACACCTGGCTGAGACATTTTTGTTTTGCCAGAAGAACCGTGAGGTCTGCACGAGCACACAGGCAGAGGTTCATACCCATCACTCAGCTGCAGATGTTATGCAGGTGTTTATTGGTGAGGATGGAAATTTTACCAGCAAAAAAGGAAGCAATACTTGTCCAGAGTGATCCATAAGCATGAGCTGGCTGTAGGGAGGGGGAAGAACCCTCCCAGCAATACATCTCCCAGTCTTTGGAGAACAGGGCTTGGATGTGGCAGCTTGGCATCATCTCTGCTGAGGTTTTACAGGTGAGAAGGGTGCTATTTCTTACAGTGAACACGCAGTGTTGGTAACGCAGAGTGAGGAACGTGAAATAGAGGGTCGGACCTGGGAAATGCTGGGCTCAGTGAGAAAACTCAGCACTTCTTGGCATCAGGCTCTAGAACCAATTCAGGTTTTAAGACATTCACTCACATTCGAGTTCAGGCATGGTAGTTGTGCAGCCCTCCACTTACCTGCTCAAAAGGTACATTGTCACATGGAAATCAATGTTTTGCACAAGATCCACAGATCTGGCTCCTCTTAGTTATTTGTTTGTTAGTTTATTACATTTTTCTTTTCCTACCCAACATTTCCTGCATCTTGCCCCCCCACTCTGGCACCAAGCAATCAAAACTGGGGAACAGATAGGACTCTCCCTCAGGATTTCCAGCTGAGTATGTAGTTTGGGATGGATCACCCCTCTTCCTTGGCAGCAGACTGCAGCTAAAACCTTGTCCTTCCCACCGCTCCAGATCATTCCCTGTCTCCTTTTAATATCACAAATATTTGGGCTACAAAATACTTGTGACAGAGTGGAAGAACAGGCGCTGGATGTGTGTGTGGGGGGTGGTGGTGGTGTGTGTGTGTGTGTGTGTGTTTTCCCAGACTGACGTTCAGGGTACACAGGATTGCACGATGATTAATAACTGTAGAAAAATTAGACCAAATGAAACGCGCCCGAATGGGCTTGATTTATGTGGCCTTCATGTCTTCAGTTTTAGATGAAATGGTTATTACTCTCCAGTGCTATAGAAATAAAGGTCTTAAACTTCAGTAATCACAGGCAGGCCAAACCTGCTAGGAAACACAATTTAGGATGGAGCCAGAGGAGAACAGGTGCCCAGGCGCGTGGGTGCACGCTGGTCTGTGTCTGCGTTCATATGCACTTTCTGCTGCGGTATTGCAGGGATCTAATTCTGGTCTAACTTCATGTTGCAATTGTTTTACAAGTGGCTTGGTATAGGAGCTAGGGGCTGTGCTTTGAGGCTTTTTGCTGTTAAGATCGACTGGCAGGCTTTAGGTGAAACAGCCTCTGCTGTAGAGGAGCCCCTGGGCAATGGTGGGGAGCCGCCCACCCCTCCCCGATGGGGGTTAACCTAAATGCTGGATGCTCTGCAGTGTCCCTTACTACTGCTCAAAGGTACCCTTCTCTCCCTCCTTCCCTCACTGCCTTTCTCTGGACCACCAGTACTCCATGGCAAGAACCGCACCCCACCAAAGAGCCACACTTCAGGCACCTTGTTCTGCCACCATCAGGTGGCTGCAGGGCCACCACTGGGCACAGGACCCTTCCAGCATGAGCCCCTGCAGCTGGCTCTGGGGCTGGAGGGAGGACAGAGGGTGGGACCACCGTGCTATGGTGTGGAGAAACCACGGCCAGGTAGAGACAGTCACCAGGAGAATTAAAAATGCTGCTCCACAACGGCCCCGTAATTCACGTGCAGGTGAACGTGGGTCAGGAAAGAGCAACTGAACCTTCTCCTGCTGCACAGGCACTGAGATGGAGATTTTTCTTATCACAGGAGGGTGATGTATTAACTCTGGAAGACCTCTTCCCAAAAATAATGTCATGCATAAATACATATACATATATACATATCTACAAGTCCATATACATACGTATAGTTAGATAGCTACATATGGGATGAAAGGCATATACTTATGCCTTTTTGGCAAGGTGGTTCTCCCCCATCTGCAGGATGTGGCACCACTCACTGTTAGAAGGGGCAGGAGAAATTCCTGCAATAGGTGGGTATCAAAATGGTGCCTCAAACCAAACCATCAGCTCAGCAGAAGTAGGGAAATACGGTCGGTGCTCAACACGTCAGACACCTTCCTCCCTCCTGGGCTTTTCCCTGGGGCTGTGCAGGGCTGATGGGCTGCAGCCCCCCTCTGCTCACCTACCGAAACAAGGCAATGAGGGAAAGAAGGAAGATGGACGCAATGCAGTGGGGGAAAATGAAATTGGAATAACAGCTTGTCTAAAAGGTAGCTGGGTTTTGAGCTCTAAAAATATTCAGCTCAATTCTACTTTGTTTCAGTGAGAGAACCTGTGTCTATCCCTAAGACATTTTTGGCCACTTATCGGTAGCCAGCCAAAATGAAATTCAATTAACAGAGTACTTTTTATTCTTTCTAAAGTATCTGGGGAGCAAATTGGGCTTTGAGCTACTTTCCATGCATAACAAAGACCAAATATAAGTTCTGTTGAAACTAATTTGAAAACTTACATTGACTTTAGTGGGACTAAAACACCTTTTTTCAAGAAAAATGGGCACTTGCCTCAGTGAGGATGAGAGAAAGCCATTAAGCTGTAATAAAATTCACATCCACTTATGTTGCTCGCTATGTTCATTACTTCTGTGTATGGCAAACAGGTCTGGTCATTTGGTGATGGTCTTGCATGGCCAATCTTTAATTATCATGGTCTGTTTAGTAGTCTTGCTTAAGCTTTGCTGAGGACACTGGGCTGAAGGAGCATGGTAGGCGTACATACCCCTGCACAAGTGCACCGTGGGATGAGTGCCTCGCAGGTGGGTGACACAGCCCCCCTGGCCGCAAGCGTTGCTGGCGCCTGGGCTCAGCTCAGCTCAGCTGGGCTCAGCTGGGCTCAGCTCAGCGCCCATTGCAGCCGTGTGCATCCCTGCTGGCCTCGGCAACCCGCGCCTGCTTACGCCTTTCATGGTCAGAAATACCAGTTTTCCAAGGGCTTTGTTACATGCCCCAATGCCTCAAGACAGACACCTGAGCAGGACTCAAAGCATCAGGGGGAGACAAAGGGAGAACATGTGAATTTACATAGACCC